CCCCAAAACCCCAAAACCCCAAAACCCCGTACTATAAAAAATATGTTGAGTGAAGATATTAAAATATGCGAAATTATTCGAAACAAATCACAAGCCTAAACAGGGTAAGATCTGATTTGGTCCTGGGTCTTGAAATCTTGATGGGAGTCATTAAGGGGATAAACTAGCTGATTTAGGTTACCTCTCCAGGGAGAAGAAACATCTCTTTAGATGCTATTGAGCAAAAGGAATTAATGAGGTAAGGTACGCCCGGTGATTTGTAGGAATATTCATATAAAAATGAAAAATAATGTTTCTCCAAGTCAAAGGAAAATGGCAGAGTTTAGGTAATAGTATTTGAGTAATGTTATAGGAAAAAGCATAAGCTGTGCACTATCCAAAGGTAAGTTAGTGAAAGTTACGGTTCCACTTTATGAAATGGTTTATAATCCTTTTGTTAGAGATAGAGCATTCTTGTCACCTACCTTACCCCATACAACTTCAGTCCAGTTTGGCCTTCGTAAGTTCAAAATAATAAATAAACAGCTGAGCATCAGATTTCTGTTTGCAAAAAAGTCACCAGAAAGGTGGTATCCTTTGGAAGCATGAGCCCGTAAGAATCTCTCCCAAAATTCTCTTGCATTTAGATTTTATCACCATACTTATTAAGCTTATTTTCTATTGTATCCCTTGTAAACCTAATCTAATCATTCTATAGAGACGCAAACCTTAACAGGGTTCAGTTTGGACCAATTGGGCATACGAGAAGTAGTAATTATAAAGAGAGTCCCTACAACGAAAAAGACCTCAAGTCCTTTGAGACATCAAATCTGAAGCAACTGTCTGGTCTGAAATTGGGAAATGATTTAGAATCTCCTCAAACCTTTATTGAGAAAAATAAGATGAAATATACTAGTAATATTGCTAAAGTGAAGAGAATAAAGTTTGCAATAAACCGTGGAGAAACTTGTTTGAACTCCGCCAAATTTCTTGTACAGGACGAAAAGATCAAGGAACTTCAAAAGGAGGTTGCTCACCTTCAAGCTAATAACAAGTCTCTTGTAGAGCAAAATGAATCGATCCAGTCAAAGTACAGAATCGAAAGCCAGTACAACTCTTTATATATGTCTCTTATAAATAAAAATTTGGAAGGAAGTAGCCAGAAAAATAAGACAATTTCAGAGATTCTGGGAACCCTCAAAGTGCTTAAAAAAGAGGATGCTAAAAAGACAGAGGCCATAAAGATCAAAGAATATGAGGAAAAGATATCAGCCTTAAAGTATCCTCTCCTTCTTCAACATTTAGTGAGCAAATAACCGGTTTAAAAAACCTTTGTGAGGAGCACAAATCTCGAATTGAAGAAGATGGAAAAATCTCTGAAGAAAACTCGCACTTACAAAAGAAACTTGAAAAGAGTAAATAAAATTCACTAACCAGTAGCCATTGCAAAATACAAGAGCATTAAATAAAGAATCAAAAAAATTACAGGAGTTTAACTCCGATCTGAAAGAAGAGATCATACACCTGAATAAGAAAATATCAGACCTCGACCAGACAATAGAACTAAAAGCGACTATCATCTCAGGTTTTACCAAAGAGAAGGAAATTAATACTAAACGTATCAAAGAGTTAGAAAAACAGCTGTATAAGTTTGAGAGCAATAACGACGTATGAAGTTTACATCCCTATGAAATGCACCAGAGGATGCGATATTTTGAAAGCATGTATGAACTCACGTAAGTTTTTACTCATAATTTTAGTAATAACAATTATAACCAAGCTCAGAACTTCATCGATGAGCTGAACCATTATTTATACAGAGTCGGCTTAACATTTGATCACTTAAAAGAAGCCTCAAGAAAAGGGAAGCTGGAAGTAGAGACTTACTCATTCTCGAACAATTTGAAATCCCAGATAAAAGATAAAGAAAAGGTTAAAGAACGGAGGCTATCTGAAAATCAACCAAAAAGTAAGTTTCTGAGGTCTTATAAGCTTAGAAAGCTCAAAATCGTCTATAACCAGGTTTGAGACTATGAAATCAACAGAGGATAGTATTCTAAACATCAAAAAACTCAAGAACCATACTGAGGAAATCCAGGGAAGGAGATTTACCAAGGTAATTATTAGAAACCATTTAGTAGAGCAATAAGGAAGATGTACTGAGGGAAGATTATGAGGCAAAGATTCCAATAGACTTTCAGATATAATATTAACACTCTAATCCTTTTCCTAGAATCTGTTTATAATTGGTCTAAACCGTATTTTGGAATGTAGGGGTTTTGGGGTTTTGGGGTTTTGGGGTTTTGGGGTTTTGGGG